CTGAAGTTAGGAAGCAAAACGAAAGTGATCATTTACAGTCTTCAATGGGTGGAGATCACTCTCACGTAATTTGTTTTGTTTCCCAAATGTGCCGTATAATCATTATGAGGATAAGTCAGCAACACCAGAAAATTCAGTTGGTCAAAACCCTGAAAACTTTTGATCATAGTAAGTCTGTGTGCTTAAATAACCTGCTCATTGTTGCCAACCAGAGGAAGAATGTGCAAATGTGCGCATTGTATTAAAATCACCAAGGACCGTATAGACTACGAAAGTGCTTGTAACGACTTTTCTTTACGTCCGTAGGTGATATCTTGTAGCTGCTTAAATAAAGCATAAAAAGGCACGACTTCAGTGGTATTTTCCGAAACATATAACTTGAAAGTGTCCAAGAGAGTTAGTATTAATGAAACAAAGATAAAAACAGCTTGGTCGAAAGCAAAAAAGGCGGTAGTTAAAAGTTAATTATATTTTACTGTTGGTAGTGACGTCAAATACGCATTTTGGTAGGAAACTGGATGCGTCCTAATAAGCTTTTGGAGGCCTTTCATAAATTTTCACAACACCGCCTTATGCTCAGTAATATGGGAACAGTTTTCCTTTCTGGCGCGCTCATCTCTTATTCACATATCTCTAGCTCAAAAGATAAAAGTTCTAACCACATCAAGGTTTAGCAAAAGCAATTTAATCCCCTCCTTTTGCTACTGTTCGGTATATTCTTTATTATTTGGATTTGAAATGGCAAAATAAATGGTGCTAAAATTAAGCGAAAAGGCCGAATGTTTCCACCAGTTGCTCTTTTTAGCGTTCAAATGTTCCTCCTCGTCATCCTTAATTGAAAAATACGGCTGGATGATTGTTAAGCATCGATTCTTGCGGTTCGGAACGAAAACACTACCAGAAAATTGCGTTAGACCCGATGTCGACAAATTATCATCGTTTACTTTAATTTCTGATCTTTGGTTTGCTTACTACAAATTTATTTTATTGTCCTATGCTGGCAAAAATAACGTTGCGTAAATGTCCGGGCAGAGTACGATGTTGTCAGTGAGCTCAAAAACTCCAGAAGTATGCATGATGAAACCGGCCTTTTTCCCTCGGCTCTGAAATAATGAGAAATGTTCTTAACTTGGTAGTAAATTCATTTCGTTAGTATTACTTCTGTTCAACGAGTCAATTTTTAAAATTTCATTGCAGGTCATTAGGTAAAACAGAATTTGCAACAAACAGGAGAAGCGCATTTTACGTCGAAGTCTAAATTACATGTGGATAACAGTTAAGAATCTATAGTAATCCAAGCCTCTAAGGCCAAGCGCTTTTGATTCTAACCGCAGCAAAAAATTCTTACCTGACACATTTTAAGCGCAATATTGAAATAATGACTGCGAAGATCGCGAAAGCGATTTTTGTGTAGTAGGTAAACAAAAAATTGTCGAGGTAATGCAGGCCACATAGAGCGCATGATATTCCCAAGAGAGGAGATTCTCTAACATTTCTTATTATAAGGTATTTTGAATCGAATGCAAACCTGATCCAGATCCACCCTGCCTACTGTCTGACACTTGAAATTCTTGTCATCGGGTTCGAAAATTGATCACTTCTATTTTCAAATTTATAAAGTCCCAAAAAGAAAAACGTGCCGTGCTAGGTAAATACTGTCCTCAGTTTAAGGCAGGACGTAGCCGCCTGAATATGAATATCATTTATACCTTTGCGCATAGAGTCAGCACATGGGCTAGCATATTTTCTGCACGTTTTCGTGGCATGTGACAACCCATTGAGACAATGCAAACGTCTACTTAGGAAATGTGTGCAACTGAAGTGCGGTGGAGAACAAAACTACAAAGGCAATCTGTGCTCATTTGCGAAGACTGCTTTATTAAATACCGACGGGGCTGCATTGACAAATGGCTGATGGTTTGGAGTACTTATCAGATGCAAAAAGGCAAAAGTCTGAAAATGTACTTTAGGCGTCATGATAGACCTTCTGACGTAAGCGCCTTGCCAGGAAATATTGCATGATCATGTGAGGTTGATGTGAAAAAAAGTTTCGTACTGTAAAATTAAAACATGCTGTCTTGCGAAGAATAAGGACCCCTATTAAGAAAATACAGAAAATTCACCCAATCGCCTTTAGCTTTTTACACAAATTTTAAAGACTTGGAAGTGTCTTAGACAAAACGTGGACGATGAGACATGGCGAATTTGAATGACTGGTAATTATAGTGACTAAATTCTTATGTAAAAAGAGTAAACAATCGAAGGGAACATGAACAACAAAGCATATTACTAGACAGGCTCATGCCCCGGCCTTCATCACTTACGATAAAGTATTTTTATAGAGGCATCGTAGTACTCGTTGCAGATGTCACACAAAGGTATCCGTTAACAAGTTGATTTGATCACGGAGTAGGCCCATTTCTCCAATAATCGACATCCATAAAGCAAACACCGTTACCGTATAAGGAAACGGATAGAAGTGTAGTAAGTAGTTACTCCTTATTTCTGAGCTAGCACACCAAACTGTTCACAAAGTGTTTTTTCGATCACCGAATATCTGTAAATATTTCCATGTTGCGTTTGAAAAGGCAAATCGAAAACGAACCGATTAACCTCCCAAACACATATATAAAATCTATCCGTTTTTCATCTATTTGTAGCGGCCTGATAATGAATTACCAGAAACACATCTTCGACAATTGACGTTGCTATTCCCGAATAATTTAGAACCCGATCTCTTGTTGTATATTCGTTTATGGTATACGGTCTACGAGCCGAATACATTAGGTGTAAGGCAAATTATACACTCTTTTATGCCATTAAGAGTGCTCACAAAATTTTGCATACTTCTTTAGGAGCATTTAAAGATAAACACGTACGATGTTATTTAAATATAAACTTCATGATTATAAAAAATCTCATAAGTACGCGCATTTTAAACCGAAATAAACTTCGTCTTCTAGGGTATTATCTGATAAAGACGTGACTAGCAATACATATGCATGCTTGTATTTTTGCACATATACGCCTTCCTGACCAACAGTTTTGCACAATCTATGCAGTACGTTGATCCCAACTAAACTGAGCCTATGCCTCTATGGTGTCGTCTTAGCCGCGTATAGTACGTGTATCTCCGCTGATACAGAATGCTTTTGTTTTTTGGTGTATACGCTATCGAGACTCCTGGTTAAATCCTGTGATTCGGTTTTCGGTACCAGGCTACTCCTGGACGCTCCTCGTTCTGATGTAGAAAAATAACTACCGACTACGAATTTTTTAATCTCTGGTTTTCTACTCTTGTTTTGATTTTTGCATTTGGTTTGCTATTGCATCACATGAGCAAATTCGAATGTTAACCGACCTACCTCACCTGTAAGTTGGTGACATTCAATTTCCAGATTTAGGGTTTTATTTGACCGATAATGCTATTTTACAAGCTGACACGAGATGATCCCCCATAATTTTATTTGTACGTAAGCGAGTGGCGTGACTACGTTACTAAAAGTATCGAATTTTACCTGCAAACAGTCGAGCGATAGATATGTAGCTATATCTACACGATATAAGACCATGGCCATTCACGATAATCTTGCTGCCGTCCTCTCTGCTGTCCCCGTAAAGCTCTGACTATCGCTTAATTCACCTGTGCTTTTACGGTCCCAGAACTTGGTCTGTCACATGGCTTCCTGTGATTTAGATTCCTCGTGACTATTCTATTCATCCTAACCTTGAGGTGTGCATTTGCTGTCCATACTTTAAGATTAAATAAATGTGCACACAATATCCGATATATTTTCGGCTCAAAACAGCAAAAATTAACTCGGGACCTACGCTTGAACTGTTTATGTTTCCGAACACGCCCGTGGGATAAATGAACACCCCAGTTAACTGATAGTCCAATAAATCCGCACCGCATAAATTTCAGAACGCAATAAAACAGATAAAAGATCACAATGACATATCTGCCATTTGTACCGTCGTTTTGTATCTTACTTTCCAAAAGTTAGACGGACAACTGTCATGGATTGCGAAAAACATCCTCCGCCTATTGCCTGCAGTTTAACAGCACGGCACTACAAACGTCCTTATACGAACGTAGCCTGTCCCTCAAAATTTGCTGCTTCTCATTTGCCATTAAACATAAGTGGTGCCGTCTGGTTCTAGTAAAATTTGTTACCTTGGATTTGAATTTTTGTCTGCTGTCTGATACGGTATGGCTTGGCCGTTCAATGTATCGGAGAGACCAAGCGTGATTCGGTGACTTTACAGTAATTTTAATACAGCAACTGTTGAGACATCAGATGAGGTTTAATAACGTCCATTGTTAAGCAAGAGTAGGACTACACTTTGCATCTGGACAACCTCTGCCCTAATGCACAGTAAGCTGTTCGATGTGTCAGACGATATTTGACCCCTTACTGTCCACAGCTATCATACGGGCCGTCAAAAGTGAGAACTGTAACAAGAGAGGCTTCCCACCTTAATCTTGGAATCAGATTTAATCAAAAGCTCACACTTTTTTCTCACCTACTTTCAACGAAGAAAGTTTCGGCCCGGTGATGGGTTCAATGATGCTGTCTATCCAGTTTTTGGCTTTATTCTGACTATCAGAAGTAGTTTTTAATCTTTTTAAGAGCTATTAAAAAGTTCTGGATGATTCCCAGAGCTTGATGGTCTGGGCATAAACGATGCGTTCATGCATGGATATAACATGGGTTTGGTTAAGGAGTCGACGGCTTCTCTGTCCCACCAGTGAGCCAAAAGCAGGTGATCACATGGATTGCTCCAAGCGGTACAGTCCAGCGCTTACGACCGTAATGTCTATGTCAATTTTTGTGTGCGCCACAGAGACGTCTATGAGCATCTCACCGATCACACAGGTTCTTAACCCCAGAAGGAATTTTAGATGGACAGGAAAATGCATTTATTCAAACTGGCAGGATGGACAGAACCTCAGGCACATGTCTGTATGAAATGTCTGTAGCAAGAGAAAAAAGTATCTAGTCGTATTCCTCTGCCCCTGAAAGTTTATTTTCAAATTTTGCGGGTGAGGCGCCTCGAAAGGCGATTTTGTTTGCTCGAAGCGCCTTGCAGATGATGACAATGGCTGGAATGAACATGATGATGACGATTCCAAGAGCGATTCCATTCCCAATTTTGGGTACTGGCACAAGTAGAGCATACTGAAGGCAGGAGAAAGCTCCCGCAATTGCACCGCCAATGCCGTAGAGGGTGCCAAACTGGGCGACCGGAAAGACGGCCATCATGGAAGACGAAAAAGTACTGAATAGGAAGCCACGCATTATTACGAGAAAGAAGAAGTTGACATAGTAGACTCGTTCGTCTGCGATGAAAACAAGACAGCTTACGACGAGAGCAAAAGTGCTCATGATCAGCATGGAAATGGACATGGGCAGAAGTTTGAGCCACATAACTGCCTTGTCTACATCGTCGTTCCTCTCGAACGATAGTAAATGTGAAATTTTTGGTTTAAACACTGCTCGTAACTTGTCGATGACGGCACCACAAAGTAATCCAGCTAGAATGCCCCCGGCGAGAGCGTACGAAAGGATCTGGCCTATGCGAGCAGTTATCACCTCGTCGTGAAAGTGATCATCAGCCTGGGGCGTAAGCTGAGCCAGAAAGAAAGAAAATCGCAGAAGAGCACAACAGAAATACAGAGTGACCAGGAAAAAAGGCAGCGATTTGAGCGAACTGCCCTGGGTCGGATGCAGATCGCGCAAAATGTTTTCAATCTGGATATCTTCTTCCAGCTGCTCCCCGTTTTGTGTCTGGTCGTCATCCACTGCATAAGATGCCGTCTCCTCGAGAGCGGATCCATAAACCTGGAGAACAGAAATTTTGAGGAAAATCATGTTTGACAACAAATTTGCAGTTTACTACTTCTTCAGTACTTGGGCAAAACTTGATAGAAGCGAATGTGTTGGCAAGAATTTGGCTTAAGACCAGATGTAGGACATTTAATTTATCTGTATAAAAGGCTAAAATGTCTGTACGGAATATCTGTGTGAGATGTTTTCTTAAAAAATATATTCATTTAATTGAAAGATGACCCTTTAACCGTACGGTAGGCACACCAGTTAGCGTAAAACGGTTCTTTAAGCCAGAGCGCTGGCTGACGTATATTTGACTTAGCAAGACAGCCAATCTTTGCAACCAAGACATTAGAGTTAGCAGCTGAAAGATTTTTGTCGATCTTTAGTACGTATAAGATGCAATCGCACGTCTTGCCAGAGTCTTCGGTGCCAGACAGTCATTCTCTAGAATGGTTGGTTATGTCCCATAAGAATTCTTTCATCCACCAGCGTTCTTAATACGCTTGGCAGGTGTGAGGGAAACAGGTCTACGGAATCATCTTTACCAAATGCCTCAATAATAACGTGGCCATAAAAAGTGATGCTTCTTTTAGAAAAGACTACCATTCATTCCTAACCTAAGAGATAAACGAAATATTGTTTATTTATTATTTATCATGAGGAACAGTACCCGCATATCATATATATCTCGTGCAGAACGAAGAGTACTTCTAAATGTGCGTATTTGACAACGGACGATCAAGATGAATATTCCCTAAAATGAACTGAATAATGTGTCATAAATTTGCAATATTATAAATATGGCTTGATTAACAAATTTATGAGAATAGAGATACTTTGTGCTTTTAGTCGCAAATGCTTGAAGTTGGTGCGGGACGATAGCATAAGCCTGAAGTTACGTAATAGGTTCTACAAAGACCCGTGTTTTCGTCAAACTAAACACAGGCTTTTCCTTTATTTGGCTTTGAATTGCCTAAATACTTTCGTGGTTCTTCTCTGCTACTTGGACGCAGCAATGCTATACCGAGAGGCTGCATTCAAGCACCCAATATGTTTAAATTCACCAGAGCTTTTTCCATACATTTATGTTCGAAAAAAGCGACAAGCACCGACAATTATTGGGCATTTACTGACATTCTAACTGTACTCATAAGTTGGCAAACTGATCTTTGTGGCATCTTGTAACTGACAAAGTCCATCCGTACGCAAAAGTCCAAAAGCGTTCAAAAGCTGTCTCAGCCCGTCAATTTTTACCAGACTGCCTCTGAAACTCATGTGGGCCTTCACATAGAAGAACGTAAATACCCGCATTCTCAGTACTGATAATAACAATACATTAACGGAGAATTCGACCAGAAGTGGATCATTCTAAGCACATTTTCGGTGCATACATGAGGTCGGTTTTTCCTAAAACTGAATGGCAATTTCTCTGATAAATGATTTGACACTTATAACCGTCTTTATGAACACTGCTCTTTCATGTTTTAGTGTATGCCAGCCTCATTTAAAAAGTTGTTTGAATACATATGGATTTGGATATCTGCATAGTTTAAGAGTGCATACGCAGCGGGCCGATCGTTCCAGAGATATTTCATAACTTTCAATCCTAACACATCACCGCACAGCTGCATAAAATGAATAATAGGAAGTTCAGTTGTTAACTTAGGGAATGACAGAAAATATCAATTTATCATACTTACGTAGTCCAGTGACTGACACGAAACTCTGTATGGAGTCTTGTGTCAAGGAATGAATGAAGTTGACCACTTTGTAGTAAAAATGACAAAAGTCAGGACACGGGATCCAATATTCGGCAAAGTTTGATAGTTTGCTTCATCCGCAAACTCTGGAAGAATACTGTTCACTAGTCTTCTGGAGAGGGTTGTTTAACATTATTTGCACTCCTTCGTTTTTCGTATCCACATCAGTCCGGGGACAATTATCAAGCGATGTTAGTGGAAGTAAGATTGATTGCGTTTTCGGACAAGAGAGACTATCTGGACACCCAATCAAAAGCCTAAAATGTCGCCTCTGGGCCTACCTCGTCTCTACGGGGACAGCCGGCGACCTTGTCAGGGCAGAAGGACCAGAATCATTGCCGTTCATTCTATCAAGCGCATATAAAACGTAGCTGCTATTTGGTACCAGAGGACGATCTGAATTGTAAACGTCGGTGACGTCCTTCTTTCTCTCACATCTGACCGTCTTATGAAAAGCAAGCAACTTTTAACATAGTACACCCTTGTAGTAAATTTTCAGTTGGCGCAATATAAGACTGCCTATCTCCACATCTAGTCGTTCGTGTGCCTGGTTACTCAATTGGTTAATTACACATTATAGCTTTAAGTGAAGTCATAGACAGCGAATAAGTACGGGACTTTCAAGTCAGCAATCCGCTTTTACGCATACAGCTATAATGGCAAGTTTTTTGAAGATCGGTAACAGTGTGGCTCAAAATAACAAGACAGAGGGTCGTTGAAGATGCTTCCTAGCGCCTCCGAAATCAGTTTCACCCTTACTGAGTCTACTTCTGGGCTTTCGGAAAGTAAGGATACCTGGATAATTTTTTTAAGGTAATACTGGATCTCTAGGTATTTAAACTATCCAGTTGATGAGTAGGATCTGCTTTCAGGGTTAACGTACACAGGACTGTTCAATCATCACAACTACCTAAGTTCACGATTGTCCCGCGTGGTAGACGCAGTCATGATTTGTGCGTGAAATTATTTACAGTGAGATACACTTGGGCTGAACGGGCGTTACTCTTTTCTCCTTTATTATCTGCGCTCAAACTGCAAAACAAAGTCAAAACGACGGAGACGGGTCTGGGCCCAATTACTGACAACGTGGCATAGACTCATTTGCTTACAATACAGGGCCTACTGCTCCACTTTCCACGTACCAGGCTTTATTTAGAGGGATGTTCAAGGGAGATGTTACTGGTCTCGCGCAAATGAAACTGTCAGAAAATCCCATTAGGAATGGGCTCTTTTAGTCGAGTAGGAGGAAGTTATCATGTTCTTTGACATCTTCCGAAGCCAGCTCTTTTAGGCCGTCATCACAGTTTCGAAGTGTTCGCTTTTTCATAACGGGTCTATGGTCTGGAGTTTAACCGATATAATTTTATCTTCTCTCTTTTGTGATGCCGGTGACCTTTATGAGTCATACCGATTAGAACCAAGAGTGGGTAAAGCAATCGACGTTTAACATAACACCGTCTAACGCTTGTTCTACACCCGCCTTGCAGAAATGGGGGCGGCACTAGGCCACAAAAGGATGTAAAGATTTCAATCTGACCCTCCTTTTTAAGGCAGGACGTAATAATTACCTCATCGAACACTCCCTGAACTGGGAGTAAGCTACTGGTTTGACGTCAGGAAGAATTTCCCACGAAATATCTCATTCTCCCCACCTTCTACCACACATTAGCGGCCAATTTGAGCCCGTTAGTTGACTGATATTGAGGCTGAGCACAGTAACTGGCGTGGTTTAGAGCTTAGAGTATCGCATGTTACTTGCGCTCAAAACATGTAAGTTCACCATCTGGCTTTTCTTTAATGACGTCGGTTTACGTAACTCTTGGGTGAATGCGTGACAGATGGATGACGCTAAGGACGAAAAAGTTCATTATGATAACTGTATGCATAGAAGGGGAACGAAACTGAGTGATGAATGATATTCTAGCTATAGGTATCGTATATACAGTAATCCCAAGCTGTATCGCGTCTCGAATTTCGTGCCTTCATTCCATTGCCGATTTTATATGCAAACAGATCTACATATATACATCTACATCTACATCTGTATCGCAGATTTTTCGCTGGTTAGATGACTTCTGCAGAAAATGGGCGCTTTTGTTTCTAATGCTTCTTCAGCTTGTTTGTCCAGTTGGTTTTGCGAATCACACCCCATATACAATAGAATACAAATGGTTTATGTTGTATAACTGCTCGATAAATGTTTATAGGAGGATGGGAGAGCTTACTAGGGTTTAGATATAAAAAAGTAGTGATAAAAACCCGCGATTCTTATCTAGTGAATTTCCACTTTTCATTGCGGCTTATGGAAAGCAACCCCGCTATCGAAGAGAGATCATTATATGCATATGACTGAAATGGCCCATGAGGTGACTGAACGTGAGGACACAATGTGGGTCGGGATGGTGTGAGTGACCGGAGTTAGCCGGGGATTCAGAAACCGGTCTTCTTGGCATGCTACGATGGATTACAAGAGACCTATCAGATCGATGCGTGATTGGAATGTGCGGTCAGGATGTGAACAAGTTTGCACTCTGTCTACATCGCTGACGATGACTGTGATGATGATGATGATGATGATGATGATGGTGGTGGTGTTGGTGGTGATGATGATGATGATGATGATGATGATGATGACAACAGATCGCTCTTGTGATATAATAGTGGGTATGAACATGTTCAAATAGGCCGAACTGAAACCGAAAGTTGGTACTGCCGTAGGGACAAGTGGGAGGATTGTCTTCATTCGTAATTCTGCGGGTTTTTTGCTGTACAACACACGCAAAACAAAGACACATCTCTGACTCTGAAGTTGTAGGCTCTTAGTCAGTACAGTTGGTTTTCGAGGGAAGACTAACCAAGTGTCATGAAGATAAGCACCCTGGCTAGCTAGGGTTTATGCAACTAATTAGGCAGAAGAGAGCGGACCAAAAAGGACGTCCAAACTTACTTTCACTTATGCTCGTGCTAGCTTTATTTGCTAACACAATCCCCAGTTAAAGCGAACTTATCAGAAGCGCTGCACATCAAAGCTGCAAACAAAAGTTAAATGCCTGCTATAGGCGACGAAAAACCAATGGAGAAATATATGGGGTGGTGTTTTACGGATATCATAATCCGAATCTTAAGGCATCTAAACGGAAAAAATAAGCTTGTGGTCAATTTAATTGACTGAAGAAGTTCTTTTACTTTTTTAGAGGCTTTATGAATTTTGTAGAGTTTTCTATAATCAATAGGTTTACGGTTTTGAAGGAATTTTTGATCACATAGTGTTTTGCAATATTGTAGGTAGGAGGTACTGCCTATTTCGTAAAGCGTGAGTCTGGGTTTTTGTGTGGAAAGCATCGTAAACTTAAGCATAATATCCGACCCAGATTGGTCACTTAGCCTTTGGCTACGAATTCTTTATTTGTAAGGTGATTGCATTCGTTATCACAGAGAACACGATAGCAATAAATTTTTCCTATCCAGAAAAAAGGCCATTAAAAGGGTGAAATTTTAAATGTCTCTAAATACTGTGTTTGTCCATTTTCGTTGCAGACTTTAAACCACCCGAAGGTTATCATATATAGAATACAAGCAATGAACTCTGTGATTTTAACTAACTATTTTTTATTTATACAAGTTTGAATAGCGAAGACTTTTATGGGAGTTGAGAGTTTTAGTGTAGTTTCCATCTTCCAAGTTTTACGACACCAGAAATTCAGTAGGATTTTTCTTCTCAACTAACAAATTTTCCACTTTTGTCTCCACTCAACAAGACTGAAATTCGACTACTTAATTTATAAGAAGAAGAGACGGCCTAATAAGTGAACATATCAATGTTCAGATATGCTTTGACCGTTGCGTGGCTCATGCTATCTAAAGGCGACTATCAAACTCCAAAAATGGGACAAAATGGCATCACGTTATTTTTGCCTCGATGATTTTCCGTCATCTGTGGAATGAACTGTTAAAATATGTTTTGTCAAGGTCTGGGCAGACAGCTATTGAATTTATCGGGACGGATTGTGATACTGGACTCTGACGCCTCTAGCAGGATATAAGTATTCAGACTAAACAGTGTCATTTACCGTCGATTTCGCCTCTGAATCCTCAAGGACGTCAGCAACGACCGTTTTCGAGTTTTTCTTGATTTCCGGCATACTAGGCATCCTGGCTGTAAGTATGAAGGCTGCACTGAAAAGTCCCATTGCAGTGCCCACAACGCTTAAGATGATAAAGGATGTCCTGAAAGGCAGCCCAGCGTCATTGGTGAGACTGACAATGGCGAACATACTGGAGGAGGCATCGTAGGAACCGGTTATGAAGGCCAGGACAAGCACAGATGTTGCATCAAAAAGTTGGCTTATGCTAAAGTCGCAAACCATCATCCCCATTCCTCCGACGCAAGTGAAGCAGCCGGCAGGGAAGATGAGCCAAGATACATCAGCTGATACAAATGCAAACATTAGGGTTCCAATAAAGTAGAGGAGAGTGGATCCAATCTTTACTACGCGCAAGCCGGCGTGGTCGATGAGAAGCCCCACAACAATAAGCATAACCATTTGGAGGGCGCTGTAGGTTGTGAATGCATTGGCATACATATTTATTTGTGCAGGACAGCCAAGCGTACTCGTCTGGTTTTCACAGAGATACGCAAAGATTAATTCTTTCTTCAGGATGGGAAAAAGCGCATTGAATCCATACATAATACCACCAAAAAATAGCATTTCAGCAACACCGAATAGCACTCCCAGTATCCGCCGTGGGAGGAACGGCATGCAATTGTCCAGTGCTGTGCCTTAAAAATAAAATAAAGGGGATAAGTGCATGTGAAGGGTTTGGATAGAATCTTATGGTGGTAACATGTGCAGACCAAGACGGAAAAATCAAAATATATAAAGATTTATTCAAAAGCTGCTTGCCTGATGCAATTTTACCGTGTTTTCTGCCGACAGATTGCAAAAATATTTGAATGTAGATGCATGCCGTTTGCTATAATTGGTTGTGGCCACGAAGAGGTTTTCTTTAGGGAAATCCATATGATGAACATCCAGATCAAACAAACCTCCAATTCAAATCGGTATGCACTTGAAACATCAACAGCCTTTTTCAGTATTCGCATTCATGAAAATCGGGCACTATAATCATATCGAAGTGTCCAGAATAAATTAGGGAGTGACAGACAAATAGTCTGTATGTCAGTGTCAGGCCGACAATTACCGATAAGGCTTTGTAAAAAGTTTCAACGGTGCGGGTTTACGGTTTTTGAAGCAAAATGATCATCATCGAAATCGATGGTCGAACTGTCATATCGAATGGGTCGTTATGTGAAAAACGTTCAGCTCCCCTTTAAACGTGTGTTAGGCATCAAAAACACAGAATCTTTCTGTCGAAAAGTTTCCGACTTCCAATGTTTGGTTCGACTAACCAATTAAATTATCTTGCAGTCGTGAATCAAAAGGTGATTCTCAATAATGACAGCAGTATCTAATCTGTTTTGCTTAAATTCGGATGTCCAAAACCGACCGCCAGTTCTTGTAACGGCGAAGATTACGAGTTTTAACCACAGACAACACAGCGCTGAGAACCCCATGAGCTTAAAGTCCTTGGGAACAGGTAAGCAAACGATCCGGAGTATCCACTTGACAGTGTTGATCTTGCACTCATAAAGATATCTGTTATTATCAAACAAGTTCAGGTAAACATATTTAGGAGGGATTCGACTTTACTTAGGTCCCATGGAAACACAAAAATGGCAATACAAAGTAGTTTCCTGCATATTTCACTGAACTCTGTGACTTACCCAAGCGACAGTGAATTACTTTAAACATCTTGCGGTTATCTAGCCGCCTACGGCCAGAATATTCCGCTGAACTACATAAGGATATTGCGGTCGTCCGGTTTATTTATTTTCACGCTACGTAAAAAACGGTAGTGGGGATGGAAGACAAAATATAGCGCTTATGCATGTAAAATGCGTCAAACGTAGTCCATTACGGCATCTAAACATGACAAATCTGGTCAAAGACACTGAGGAGCGTTTACTGAATATTTATGGATATTTATGCTGTCCGGCTTTGGCGCCTTTTGTATGAAGATTATTTATAGACGTGTGGGGCTGTATGCTTAAGTGAGGTATTTTAGTGACTGCAGTGATTAATACAGTCACCTAAACACCTTTCTTTAGCATACAGCCCCACACTTTCAATGATGCATGCTGTTTGCTGTAAGTTACTGCACTACATCGACGTACTGCAGTAACTTTTAGCACACAGCGTGCATCATTGAAAGTTAATGCTTAAATGTAGCATCTACGAAGATCTTGATTTAATTTGCATTCAGATATGAACACCAGAGCAAATAATATGGATTTTACAAGTGCGCATTTTCATTAAGTCAAAGTTAATCTGTTTAATATTGTGATAGAAACGCAGCTAATTTCAGTTGCATGGCATTTTTGGGCAAATGGCGTCCCTTTTCAATAATATACTGCTTTTCATTTGACTTGCTGCTATGTTTCGGCTGTTTCAATTCTGAAAAAGAGGATAACACACACTTTTTATCCTCATCACGGATGTCATTTGATAATGCAAAAATCTAGTTTGACATGCTTCCCACCTATGCCGTGGTGTTCAGTTGTTTAGCATAGAAAGGCAATCACATGATAAGAGTTTTTACTGTACGTATGAATTAATCTCGATGTTGGCAAATTGTGCAGTTTTCTGTCGTCCTTTATATTTACAATTCTCTTCGCATCATTTTTCAATAGTCCGCGTTCAAGGTAACGGACAACTATATTTGCCACCTTTATAGAGCTTGTGAATAATCCTAATTGTTTGCAAAACCTTACAACGATGTCTGCCGATTTCATTTTATAAGCAATTTCTCAACCATCTCATTCAATCCATCATTGCAGAATATACGTAACGGCATGAAAGTATTTATAACATGCCAATTCACGTATACAGCCGTTTTTGCGGACGGTGCCGACTTGGCCTGAATACCCAGCCATTGTTGGTAATGTTAAATAGGGAGTCCCATATCCATGTTCACATCTAAGTTCGCTCAAGCTCATTTAAAATAATTAAGAAATCTTGTGGATAACAGAGTTCGACAATGTTGTCCTCATGAAAAAGACGTGCGGCTTTGTTGTGTTTATTTACTGCGACTACGTTTCCAGCCCAGCTTTCGGAACAGCACTGAAATCATCTAGTAGGAATAGTTTTGGCGGTCTTTTGCCCTCCATGTGCGTTCTTTTCGGACTTCCTTTGCATTTTACTCTGAAATACGATTGTTTGAAACAAATTCCATTTGCTATTTAATTACTTTGTTCCGTAGTTTTGTCTATCATTAGGAAGTTACTTCTGCATAAGTACACTTTCCAAAAATATAGAGAGCATTTTCGTTTATTTAGTCATTTATTGCACTTTCCGCAACTACCGTCGTGTTAAATACATGAAAGGAGTTCCGTTATTGTACAATTGGAAATGGCCGTTGAAGAACAATCGTAAGCATGCACAGTAAGTGATTTATTTTATGAAAGGTGCCAAAATTTACGACGGATTACTAGTCGCTCGCAAAACCACATAGGCGGTTGGACCAAAGTTTTGAAATTATAATGAATAACTTTAAGAGTATGACAAGCACTAGAGAAATGTCAAAATTCATATTATGTTATTCAGAAATACCAAAGTTTTTTATAAAAGCAGACAATTCCGAGCATGTAACGAAAACATTATGACTGCGTAAACCTAAGTTTCCAACGTAGAGAAGACCTTCCCATTTACAAAAGCAAATACATAAAATGGTACAAGTAGAATAGCGTTTAAAAATACTTCTATAGATACTTTTGCGCTTTAATATCCTTCACGGTTAAGTGCGGTATTAAATACGGCAGCTGGCCAGCAGCCAACAGTTCGAGTATAGACTTGAATCAGGTTTCCCCAGAATTGGCGGTATTTTCCGTTTTTACGTTACTTGAGATGCGAATAACAAAGACAAGCAGGTTTTCCTTTAATTTTAACGACCGTAACGTCACCGGATTAAAAATTTATCTAATGTCGCATGACGATAGGCCGGTCAACGACTAATTAATTTAAATGCAACTGTCAGGTGTATCCGCACACATACCATTTTGTGTACCTTGAGAGAACTTTACTGTCTGAAGGTTTCTTTACAGTTATCTGTGATGATGGAGCAAGGTGGAATTCAGATCATCCTTAAAATGGCGGTGATTGCTCCACGACTTTCAGTGTTTTCGATCGACTGCTCATAAACAAGCAAAATGTGCAGTATTTTAGTCACCTTAAATCGACCGTCCTAATTTTCCTCATTGTGCTTTATGAGTAAAATCACATATTGTATATGTTTATTTGGATAGATGTAAAGACAACTAAATGCTGACAAGGAAATAGGCATACATACATATGCATATTAGAAGGTAGCCACAACAAACAGGTTTGTTGTATCAAATATGCTGTTTGGGAAAAAGAAATTCCTATTTCCCAAAGAACATATTTGACTTTATACATATGCATGTTTGCAGACATATGTTTTTGTCCAGCGACATGCGTTATAATAAAACTAGTAGCAAAATTAATTTATATGCATATACACATTTAAAGACGTATATAGTTGTAGTTACAGAAATTTCTGTAACTACGACTTCGTGTATATTCAGGAGTAATGTCAATGCTTGCAAAAATCAGTGCACAAATTAATGTAAAAAGTGTGACCCAATCACATGCGCACCTTGTTCAGGTATGCGATTATGCTGTTTCTTATAAATCTTGCATAAGTGTAATATTACACTTATAGTATTACAGTATTATACTATTAATTATATAATTAATACTAGAACCTAAGTTTCTCGCAATACCGTCAACGACCTTCGCAGAACGTAAAAGTCTGAAACCTAAGTACGAGGGAATTCGTTTTGTTAGCATGCAGGGCTGATGGAGTAGCAATTTAAAACAGTGCGAAAACGCATCGCGATAGAAAACTTACAGATTCCCATTTTTTAAAAGTGAATCTCAAGTTCTCGCGTCAAAATGTAAGCGTTAGACGATGCAAAAAAACAAAGCAGTTTTGGTACGTCAACCCGACGCTAAAAGATAACGTTGTGGTGATATATTAATGCTGAAAGGTCTTTACGATCTTTGTAACATGTAACAGCTCTGTTAATCTGCTTTAAGTTGCCAATTAACACCAAACTGCTGAGTAGAAATCTTAACACCGTTTGCATGGTGTGCTTCGTATAGCGAAGATTCGAAACCGCTAAAATCACAGTGTAGAATTAGTGAAACATAACAAGACGTGGGCAGAAGACAAAGGAAAAAATAGAAACTAACGAAATTGGACAAGGACAATTGGTGAATGAGTACCGAGAAACGAACTGAAACGTCAATAGAGACTGTCTGAGACGCAGAATGGTCTGAAGTCCCTTTATGCACGACCATCAGTATTACCAACAGCTGAAAGGAGCCCCAATGGGTTCACCTATCTCTGGCTTCTTCGCCGAGATTACTATGCAAAAACTAGAGGCCACGGCTCTTCCATTGTT